CGGTCGACTACATGGGAGTCCAGTGACATAGCCATTACGCTAACTGCTGGTCCCAGATTGGGGTTTTCTTAAGCAGTTGCATTACCCTGCACCTCTCCACAAACTTTTTGAAATGCATGTGTGTCGGAGGTTTCAGGGTGGAGAAGGCCTGTGGACTAGTGAAATTTGACGACATTTTCATCTTCTCTTCCAGGAACCTCCCCTCCCCATCCACACCCACCATTCAAGCCCTGGTAGCCCCTGGTACAAGCCTGGGAAGCCTCGGGGAGGAGAGAGAATTGTCCTCCAGACAACAAACAAAAGCCTTTCTTTGACTGTGATGGTGAAGAGGGTGCAGGGGAGTGGAGAGGCACGGGGCAGAAGGGGTTGCCAGAGAGGGGCATGCATGTCTCAGGGGACAAGGGGACAGTGCTGAGAAGGGCAGGTTCACTTCCAGCCCAGGGACCCTGAACTTTTAGAGGACTCCCACTCCCTAGGACCCAGCCACTCCCCCACCCCCCTGCAGGGCTCAGGCTCACCCTTGAGTGGCACAGGAATCCCAGGTAAACGATGGCAGCTGTCGGCAGCAACACTAGCAGGAAGACTGCGGCGGGCAGCAGCAGGTGAAGCAGGAGCCCAGCGAGCAGGGTCCTGAGGCCCTGGGAGACCCTGCCTGCCCCCCTTGGGCATGTCAGGGTCTGGTGGTCCAGAGGCCTTTGGGGTAACATAGGTGCCGTGTCTGAAGTGCCCCCTTCCTCATCCTCTGTTTCCCTCTCCTGCTCACTCATGCTCTCGAAGCCAGTGGGCCTGGTAGGCTCACGGCAATGGTCGGACAGCAGGACTGAAGCCCCTCTCGTCAGACCAGAAACTCTTTAGTGCACCCCAGATTGGATAAAAAAAAAAGAAAAGAAAAAGGAAAAGGAAAAGGAAGGAAAGGAAAGGAAAATACCATGCATGGATTTCAAATTTTTTTTTGCACCAAAATAAATTCGTACTTTAATTCCATTTTCCATTATTTTTTTCTTTATTTACTATAGTTCACATGCACACCCACATGAGAGTGTGTGTGAGAAAGAGAAGCACCCTCCACAGGGTCTGGTCACACTGTGACCACCCCCTTCCTCCAGCCCATTCAATCTTGGGTACTTACTTGTGCGTGTGCCCAGCATATTTCGGCATAACCAGGCTGGGTATTGTAACCAGGGTCACCACGTGGGATTGGGGTTTTCTTTTCTTTTTTCTGAAGAGGTTTTTGCTATAGGGCGCGTGAGCTCGCCAGACAGACAGAGACATAAAGACAGAAAGCGAGAAATCACCCCCCAGGGGGGATGGCCACGCCATGATCCCTTCTCCTCCATTCTCCTCTCGGGATCCTGTGGACGCACGCACACGCACCCAGTGTGAGTTTTAAGCCACCCGGTCAGGGACTCGAACCGCGGTCGACTACATGGGAGTCCAGTGACATAGCCATTACGCTAACTGCTGGTCCCAGATTGGGGTTTTCTTAAGCAGTTGCATTACCCTGCACCTCTCCACAAACTTTTTGAAATGCATGTGTGTCGGAGGTTTCAGGGTGGAGAAGGCCTGTGGACTAGTGAAATTTGACGACATTTTCATCTTCTCTTCCAGGAACCTCCCCTCCCCATCCACACCCACCATTCAAGCCCTGGTAGCCCCTGGTACAAGCCTGGGAAGCCTCCGGGAGGAGAGAGAATTGTCCTCCAGACAACAAACAAAAGCCTTTCTTTGACTGTGATGGTGAAGAGGGTGCAGGGGAGTGGAGAGGCACGGGGCAGAAGGGGTTGCCAGAGAGGGGCATGCATGTCTCAGGGGACAAGGGGACAGTGCTGAGAAGGGCAGGTTCACTTCCAGCCCAGGGACCCTGAACTTTTAGAGGACTCCCACTCCCTAGGACCCAGCCACTCCCCCACCCCCCTGCAGGGCTCAGGCTCACCCTTGAGTGGCACAGGAATCCCAGGTAAACGATGGCAGCTGTCGGCAGCAACACTAGCAGGAAGACTGCGGCGGGCAGCAGCAGGTGAAGCAGGAGCCCAGCGAGCAGGGTCCTGAGGCCCTGGGAGACCCTGCCTGCCCCCCTTGGGCATGTCAGGGTCTGGTGGTCCAGAGGCCTTTGGGGTAACATAGGTGCCGTGTCTGAAGTGCCCCCTTCCTCATCCTCTGTTTCCCTCTCCTGCTCACTCATGCTCTCGAAGCCAGTGGGCCTGGTAGGCTCACGGCAATGGTCGGACAGCAGGACTGAAGCCCCTCTCGTCAGACCAGAAACTCTTTAGTACACCCCAGATTGGATCCCTATCCAGATCCTAGCAACCGGATATAGGACCTTGGCCCGAGTATGTCTAGATCTGACCCTCAAGTCTCCAGGGTCACACCCCTGCCTCAGTTTTCCCTACCACCAGGCTGGACTTCACTCTGCTGGCGACTGCAACCCTGGCCCTAGCCCTGGCCAGCTCCTATGTGTTCTGATCAGGCCTTGCACAGCTGTCCCCAGGGCCCAGTACTAGGGCTCCCTCCCTCCTGGCCCGCCCCCTCTCTGCTTCCGGCTTCTCTACACAATGACTTTATTTCAGAGGTCTTGACTCCGGGAAATACCCATTAGTAACTGCTACCCAGAGGCTTATCACCTAGCCCATTTCCCAGTTAACTGAAAACCTGGCCTCTCCTCAGCCTCAGAAAACAGGAGAGACCCTAGGTACCTACATCATAGGGTAGTTAAAAGGACAACATGGTGGGGGACCAGCAGCTGGCGTAATGGCTATGTCGCTGGACTCCCATGTAGCTGACCGCGGTTCGCGTCCCAGACCCGGTGGCTTAAACTCACGCTGGGCACGTGGGCGTGCGTGCCTAAGATCCCGAGAGGAGAATGGAGGAGAAGAGATTGCGGCATGGCCATCCACCCTGGGGAGTGATTTCTCGCTTTCTGCCTCTCTGTCTTTCTGGCGAGCACATGTGCCCTAATGCAAAAACATGTCAAAAAAAAAAAAAGGACAACATGGGGGATGTTAAGTGCTTAGCATAGGACCCAACATAGACGGGGTGCTCAATTAACAACAGCTACAGCTTTCCGGCGGTGACGACCTCCCCACGAGAACATGCCTCCCGCAAAGGACCTCCTTCATCCCTCTCCGGAAGAGGAGAAGAGGAAACACAGGAAGAAGCACCTGGTGCAGAGCGCAGATTCCTACTTCATGGATGTGAAGTGCCCAGGGTGCAATAAAATCACCCCAGTCTTTAGCCCAGCACAAATGGTAGTTTCGTGCGTTGGCTGCTCCATGTCTTCTGCCAGCCTACAGGAGGAAAAGCGAGGCTGACAGAAGGACGTTTCTTCAGGAGGAAGCAGCACTAAAAGCATCCTGACTCGAGATGAGTGGGAAACCAGCCCAATAATCACATTTTGGATATGTCCTGTTCATTGTCTTAACGGCTAGGAAGGTCCCGCCTCAAGTATTCATGGGCAACCAGAAGAGGGGAACACTTAGAGTCATTTGGGGCAAGTAAGTTGGCCAAGTACTTTAAAGTCCATTGGGGACATTTGTATCCATCTAAGCTTGTTGGTTCTTGATTAAAAAACAAAAAACAAAGATACTAAATAAATAAGATTTTTATTTACAAAAAAAAAAAGAACAGCTACAATTACAGGCATTCTCTGTGTTCAAATTTGATCTAGCCTGAAAGCAGAATAACAGTAGATTTTCAGATGACAGGAACACATATTCCCTTTATTTGAAGTGATGGACGAAAACATTCCCAGCCCACTCAAAAACCCAAGCAATTTTCCCAAAATATTACTTTTTCTTTTTTTTAAGAGAGATTTTCCTATAGGGTGTGTGCGCTTGCCAGAGAGACAGAAAGCAAGAAATCACCCCCAGAGGGGGAATGGCCATGCTGCAATCCCTTCTCCTCCACTCTCCTCTCGAGATTTTGGGCACGCTTACACACATGCCCTGCATGAATTTCAAGCCTTCAGGTCTGGAACCCAAACTGCAGTTGGTCGTGTGGGAGTCCAGCGACGTACTCATTATGCCATCTACTGGTCCCTCCTCAAATACTACTAAAATATCAGGGAACCAGCAGTTAGCGTAATGGCTATGTCGCTGGACTCCCACGTAGTCGACCGCAGTTCGCGTCCCGGACCCGGTGGCTTAAAACTCACGCTGGGTGCGTGTGCGTGCGTGCCCAAGATCCCGAGAGGA